GAGGGCGTGCGAGCCAAAAACTCGGCTTTAAAAGAAGAGACACTGGAAGAGAAGATCTCTACGCTGTCCCCAAAGCAGCAGGAAAATGTGCGGCACTGTTTCAGAGCATCAAAGCGAAAGAGCACAAATGGCATGCGTTTCACTAATGAATGGATGCTCGAATGCATTCTCATGAAGATGAGAAGTCCGAAGCTCTATATAGAAGACACAACATTCTCGTGCTTCCGGGTGATACTACTCTGTGGAAGTACACCGCCTCGTACAGGAGTGGCTTCGGTTTCAACAGAAAGGTTCTAGAAACTTTGAAGACGAAAACAGACACAATGGACACCTTCAGCCGTCATGGCGGCATCCTGGTGGACGAAATGAAGTTGTCTGAGCACCTTTAAATTGACAAGACTGGTAGAATCGGAGGCTTTGTTGACATGGGGCCCTTTATACCATGGGCAGATGTGAACCTTCCTTGCGACCATGGTATGGTTGTTATGTTCGTGCCATTTGCAGGCAAATTTTCTCAGGTTTTGGGGGTGTTTGCTGCGCACGGAAATGTTAAGGGCGACATTCTCTGCAAGATATTGATCGAAACAACGATCCTAGCAGAACAGGCAGGACTCTTTGTCGACTTCATAACCTGCGACGGAGCTTCGTGGAATAGGCGAATGTGGACATCGATGGGCATCCAGGGAACCTCAAGCAAAATAACGTGCAAGGTGAAGCATCCTGTGGACCCCAAGAGGAACCTTCATTTTCTGTCAGACTTTCCTCATCTAGTGAAGTGCCTCCAATACTCCCTCTTGAAAGGTGGTTTCAGCACACCAAATGGACGGGTATAAATGTTTTATTACATGCTTGCTTAACATTTTATATTAAGTCAACTGGCTAATCACTGCACTTTTATATTGATGCAGGTGTCAGTGTATTTTGTGGCCGAGGCTTTCAACCAGGACAAAGACTGCACCACCTTGAAGGCTATGCCAGGGCTGACTACAAGCCACCTTCAGCCCAATGACTTCGAGAAGATGAGAGTGTCCCTTGCCTTCCAGCTATTCGGAGACTTTGTGCTGCGTGGTCTACACCACTACAAGGACACCCTTGAGTCACGTTATGGAAAGGGTGCAGTTGATGCTACAGAATCAATCTTCAGGTACTTAAATATATTGTATCTGCTGTATTCTTTGGGCAAAAGACAAGAGTGCGTTAATGGCCATCACTGTTGAACCCAGCTCTAGTGAAGATTTTTTTGCATTTACAGGCTGATAAACCAACTCATCAAACTGATGACCTCCAGATTCAAGTCCGAGGCTCTTTGGCCGGACTCAAGTGGTAGTTCTGCGCTCTCCAGTTTTCTAGACTACATTGACAAGTGGGAGCAGCATGTCGGCAAGGGCGTCGGGTTCCTTAGCAAGCAGACAGCTACTGGCCTGAGGGTTACGCTGTCCAGTGTGCTTTCTTTACTGGACTATGTTACCACAGAACTAAGCTACAGGTATTTGATGACGAGTAACCTAAGCCAAGATCCACTCGAGAACTTGTTTGGAGTTGTGCGGCAGTCGTCGGGCTGTAATGACCATCCGACTTCAGAGCAGTTCTTAATTGCTGCCAACTGCCTGAGCTACTATAGCCTAGCTAAGCCAGTGCACGGTGCGAGCGTTACACCATTGGTGCTTACATCACTGCTCGACACTGGAGATGCACACTCGGCAGATGCAACAAGCTTGCAGCAAACAATTGATGACCACATCGCTCAAGGAGATCTTGACGTGATAGAAAGCGCTGCCTGCCATGACAGTATTGCTGCCCCAACTGAGCATTACAGCCTTGTGGGAAAAAAAGTGACTCTCGCCTAGCATATTACATGGCTGGATATGTTGCTAGAAAGTGTGTGCAAAAGTCAGGATGCACTGCTTGTCGTACTTCACTGCTTGTACCAGCTTCAGAAGGGAAGGAACATGAGTGTTCGGCCTTTACGAACTTTTGCGACAAAGGTGGTTTGTTGTACCCGTCTAAGGAGCTGTTTGACTTTGTTAGCTATTTAGAAGACACATTTACAGACTGCTTCAGCACTAAAGAACTGCACAGTGATAGCATTTTAGATGTGCTGCATCTGGTCAGGGTTGAAGGGAGACCCCTTGGCTGTGCTCAACATGCAAACGCAGTCAAGTCTCATGTGGTAAAATTTTATGTTGTCACTCGATTGCACTTTTTGGTTAAAGGAATCAATAGAGCTAAGGAAGAACGGCGCAGGAGGCTGCAGCACCTAAAGCTCCGTAGGTGCGTGTAGGATTTCCGTACAGCTGAGTGCTGCACTCGTCCTGTTACATACCTGTAACAGTTTTCTTTGTACATAGTATTTACAGTGATTTTTTTGTACTTTGAAGTTTATCTGTGTACATAGCCAGTGTAACAGTGATACTTCTTTGTATATATGTAAAGCAATAAGTTTTAAGCATCTTTATTTTTACTTTGTTTTCCTTTAAAATGTATCTTTATGCATAGTGTGTGTGACTGATAATTCTTTGTACATAGCAGCCGGTTTTAAACATCTTTATTTCATTTTGTCGTGTCTGTAAACACAATTAATATGCTGTTGACAGGTGGAAAAAAACCGCGTTGGTTTATGCTTGGCTTTATCCTTTGGCTAAATTACAGCTGCTTGTTTCTACACATTGAACGATATTTGTATATTTGCTGCTGATCCAATAAAAAGCTAAGGGATGCAGACATCGCTGTTGTCCTTTTAATATGGGTGTAAGAAAAAGCAGTTTTCTATTAGCATCATTATTTAAAGCATTCCTTCCTGTAGCCGAGGCGTTGTGACAAAAGCACACGTGTAGCTTTCGCTCACGACATTCATTCATATTTGAACTGCTATTTACAGCTTCGCTTTGCTGCGGCCATGCACAATGAGACAGACAGCACGCGGACTTGACACTTTCTCTCAATTGGTAAAAAGACTTTAAAAAAACGGAATCGCAAAGAACCTACGCAATGAGCGCATTCGCGCGTCACCGTAGCAGACACTCAGAGCCGCGAAACCAGTGCAGCAACATTTAGGGGCAATATTATGAGGCGAAAGCCTGATTATCGTGTGGAAACACCACTTTTAATGCTACTCTGACAGTATAAATCTATAGCCGTACACCGGTAAGAAACTGGCCGTCGCACGTGTCGCCAAAGGCGCAGAAGCCCGGCAACGCACGACCGCGCGAGCGATGCGCGACCAAGCCGGATTGCTCGTAGCGCCCTCTATCGCAACCGCGTACGGAGCTTCAGGAAAACAGCGGCAGTCGCGCCACTCAACCTATTCTAGTACACTCTAGTACTATGGTGGCTAGAAGCTGCTAGAAGCTAGCCTCCATAGTACACACACCATTGTGTGTACTACCCACCTTTCCTTCCTCCGTGGTACTACCCATCGTTTCCATGCTCGCTGAAGCGCCGTGCGTTGTAGCTCCCTTAGACACTAGCGCCAGAGTTCCCTCTAGTAAGTATTGTGGGAAACTCTATGATCCTTCCAGCAATAGCGTAAGTGAAGAGAGAGGTAAGTATACCCACTCTGGGTGTTTGAAACAAAAACGTGCCGTGGTTAGTTTTTTTGCCGCCTTGTACAAGTGATAACTTGAACTTGAAAGTTTCCGGGGCCTGGCCTCCTCTAATTAGATGCCTGCCGCATGAGAAAGAAAACAGCTGCCTCACCCTTTTCGCCTTCATTTTAGATTGTTGTTGGTTGCTAGCGTCGTTTGTGGCGGACGGTGCAACAACGCAACACTTTGCATAGCCTCTGAAGTAGTGGTGCACGGTTGCAGGTCTTGAACAACTCTCGACTGACGGGCCCTTATGGGCCGCAGGTGAAAAACGCTTAGTGGACAACGTTTGCGCAACCCGCAGAGAAAAAGTGCGCTGTGTGCAGTTTCGCTCGATAGCTACTGCATATGAACAAGCAAATAACTCGCAATATGACAAAATTTGACGCAAGAATGATAATAATAAGTTTTATATTGTGGAAAGTATCTTACATTGTCCTTTAAACTGTTTTTGTCGTTTCATGCCAGAAATGATTAAAGCTAGCAGACGTACATTGCATTGCAGTGTGAGTGCTAGTGGTGCGCACGCTTGCATTACTTAAAGCACCTTTTTTCCTCCGTAACTGAACTTCAGCAGCAGCCGACGCGGTGTGGTACATCAAGCCATAAAACTGAGTGAACAAAAAACTATATTTATTTGTTTTTTCCTTTAAATAGTGAAATTGGGGACTCGTACTTTGCAGTGAAGGGTTTAATTTTTACTCGTGCTTTGACTTAAGCCACCAATCAGATACCCTCCTTCTTGTTAATTCTGATAGTGTTAGTCGCGATCGCCACCGCGCGGCGCTTGCTCAAAACGGAAGGCAGGCCAACCTCTATGAGCACGTCGAGCCAAGACACACCATCTGAGAAGCAGCGCTTGTGCAGGCGCATGCAATGCACGTGCGCGCGCGGATCGCATCCGTGGAGCTTGCGTTCGGACCGCCATTGCCGTCTTGCCATGAATTCTTTGTTTGTGCCTCGTCGTGCAGCCGGTGCTTGTTGTCTGGGCAGCATAAATTGCACTAGGATTCCATCCTGATGCCCTCCTTGAGTACCTCCTTAGGATGACACTACGGCATGCAAGTTCAGCGTAGTCTCGTCACAGAACACCTACCAGTTCTCACACTCGACATGGATTCCGAAGCACTTCGCGTCTGTGCCCCCAGTGGAGTTAACAAAAGTTCCTAGCCGACCGGACGTGCCGTTGAAGAAGAGCCTTTCGGTTTACGTGACGCTTTACGAGGGGCCCAACAGACTATTTCTGATTGATATGTTAACAAAAAGTTCCTAGCCGACCGGACGTGCCATTCAAGAAGAGCCTTTCGGTTTACGTGACGCTTTACGAGAGGCCCAACAGACTATTTCTGATTGATATGGGGGGTTTAACGTCCCAAAACCACCATATGATTATGAGAGACGCCCAAGAGGCTATTTCTGCGACTTACCGACAACGAAAGCAAATTCATTTACAATGCAATATATTTTATTGAAAAGGAGCCGCAGCATGTCTTAGAGACGTCCATTGGCACGTACTGCATGGTGGCATTGCCGCAATACTCCGACAGGCAGGCACTGCGCGCAAGGGTGACGGACATTCGCAGGGATGTTACGGGCACACAGGTTCTGGCCGATGTCCTGTACGTCGACGAAGGCCGCGCCGATGTTGTCCCACTGCACTGTGTGTACCCCATGAGTGATAGCGAAGCCCGCGATCCCTGCCGATCAGTGGCCTGCTGCATGCGGAGAATCAGGCCAACTTTGGAGAGCTCCTGCTATGACATGCAATGGCTCGTCGACAGGAGCAAACCTTACTACTTCGACGCCGTATTCCATGGCCTATCGGATGGTGGTGTTTACCAGGTGGACTTTTTCATCAACATTCCCGATGCCCCCCCTGTGATGCGGCGTCGGAGTGTTGCCCGACTCCTTGTCGATAACGGCTTCGCAGAATTCTTGGATTACCTAGTAGATGCCCCGCGTGTTGTTGTTGAACCGACAGCCGATGCGAACGATCATTCCCAGCGTGAATGCGAAGGCGTCGTCGAGCAGATGCTGGCCGAAAGGGGAAGCACCAAGACCGAAAATGGAGCCATAGGAGCGAACGAAATCTACATTCAAGGTGACATTTGCCCTGAGAGTAAAGCCTGCACTGGGAATGAAATCTGCGCCGACTATGGAATCGGCCGCGCTAGGACTGCAATAAACGCCGTGGTGTTGGACAGATCGCCTTCTACTCTCTCCGCAATCAACGTTAAGGTGTTGGGCAAATCACTCTCTACTCGCTCCGCAATCAATGGCGAGGTGAGCCCGTCCTCTTCTACTCACTCCACGATCAGTGGTGAGGTATTGGACAAATCACCCTCCACTTTTTCTGCCTGAAGTGTTAATTCACTGAGTCGCAGCTCTCTCTGCTTCGAATTGACACCATTTGTGCCACAAAGAAACATCATAGACATCAGTGTTACGTTAATCTTGACACCGGATCACTGGTATGGACAGCCTACCTCTGCGGTGAAAGACCTGTCAGAAATGAGAGGCATCATAGAATCGTGCAAGCAAGTGGCATGTGTGAAACAAGAAATCAAGAAGGGGTCATACCTCATATATCGTGATTTGCCGCACGAACCTGGAACCAGAGTCCGTGTTGAGGAACTGCTTAGTGCTGGAAAGTGCCAGGTATTGCTGGTGGACTATGGCAACAAAAAGGCTGTGAATTCCTCCTGCTTATTCAAATTTGACTCGAGGCTTCACAGCATACCTCCACTTGCAATAAGGTTTAAGCTCGTCGGCATTCAGCCGTGGACACAATGGACAGAAGCAGTAGTCTTACAATTTCAAGGGCTGGCTCATAGTGGCTGCTCACTCCAAGCAGTCATTGTGGGAACAAGTAGTACTCGTGATGAATTTAATAACACAGTCTACTTGGCAAATTTGCTAAGTGATACCCATGCAGCCGTGGCTGAGTGCATGTGCAGGGAAGGCTATGCAAGAAAGCCGATGGTGAAATGCAAAAAGAACACCGTTGCTCAAAAATCAAATCTCCCAGCTCTTGCTTCTTTCAATCCCATGCAGGATGACTACTGCAGTCCTCTGAACAGTTACAGTGTGAACACCGACGACCCAGGGGTGGCTGCCGCAAACTTTCCAGCAAAAACCAACCGCGTCTGCAAGTTCTACAGCACTCGAGGCTATTGCAAACAAAAGACTTTCTGTGTATACAAGCACGTTGATGCAGAACCCAACTCAACCCTTTTGCATATAACCGAGCCTGCCGCTCAATGCGTCGAATCGAAGCCACCCGAACCAGGCAGTTGGCTTTGGGCCAGATGTCGGCGTACGTCAGCCCAAACCATTTCTATTTAGTCTTCTGCTATGGGAGAAAGACTCTTGATAGACTTACTATGGAAGATGGTGCTTTCAGCTTGGGAGAGTGTTTGCTAGGCCTTATAGACGACATGCAGGACATTTGCAGGTATGGCAGTTTCTTACAAAACAGGCTTTTTGCAAAGTCGGTTGGTGAGTTCGTCGCTGCCAGGTCCAGCCGCAACAACTTGTGGTACCGAGCAAAGGTTGTCTCTATCGGTCATGGCGAGCGTCTGAAAGTGATGTTCGTGGACTTCGGGTTTTATGAATGGGTCACGTTGAATAATGTCAGAACACTGGATCCACGCTTTACACTCCTACCCATTCAGTCGCAGTTGTCATCCCTCGTGGACACTGAATTGTGCTGCATGAGGGATGGAACCAGCTGGGACAAGAAAATGCGCAAACAGTTCCTCAAATGTGTCACTGGCCGAACTCTTCTGATCGAGACTGTGTGCTCGAAGGAGAAATTTTTGCGTGTCAAGCTCTACTTCTGTCATAAAGACGTGATCTACAGTGTGACTGATTTTATAAGAAACATATAAACAGACTAAAGTCAAGAAAGAGGCTACAAGTGCTCAGAATTTACTGGAATTCACGCATGCTCTACTGAACTCTGCAGGATTTTCGGAACATTACCTTAATTCACAGAATTTGTTTGTTTTGTGTTTTATTGTGATTGTCCTGCAGCGACTAAAATTTTGGAGACCACAGGATCGCGTGGCCAACAGCAGTGCAGCACCTTCTCACGGCTACCAGAGAAGCTCGAAAGTGCGCACTGCGCAAGCGCATCCGTTCCTATCTACCAGCCTGCAGTTTTGCTCCCTTGAAATGTGTGCACAACGCAAAGCCAAAAAAATTGCAAGGTGTTGCTTTTGCACCAAGCGATCATATCGCGACAATATATTTAACTTGTAGTCACAGTGACCAGAGTGCGCCACTTCTATGCCTTTGTTCCAGATGCTCCACCGAACCCAAAACGTGCACATTGCGTCAGTTTTTTTTTTATCGACACATGTGATAAGATTACCGAGCAATACTTTATTTTAGCGAGGCACGCTCTTTTTTGCTGCCGTGGAACATTTAAAATAAAAGCACCGAAGTGGTCTGCACCGAGCATCGCCTCTACAAGTTCGGCATTTTTGTGATGAAATTGTTACGTATTGTTATGCTGATATGTCAGCTACGTAGCAATATCATCACTCAGTGCTTCCAGAGTTACTGCAAAAGTGACACCTTGCGATTTTTCTGGCGTTCCGCTGTGCGCAGCTGTGAGAAGGCGCCGTGGTGCTGTTCGCCACAGTACCTGCGATGATTCAAATTCCATGAATTATTGTTTTGGAAATGAGGGCCATACTAATGCTTTTGGGACATTCGTTGCTCCTGGTAAGTTCAGTATGAATCAGCTTGGAACAAAAAGTAAAAATACTTATTTAATATGTTGTATCACACAGCACCCAAGGCCAGTGGGAGCTGTGTTGAGCTGCCCTGAACACTCTTATAAGAACCATATTAGACAATATGCTCTGTTAGAATATCAGAAGCTGGTTGTACAAGTGGACAGCAATGTTATATTCAACACGCTTTTGTCTTGGCTTTTATGCAGTTTTGAGGAATTAGGTGGAGGCTCTAAAGTGTAACAAAAAGGGCTCCTCTCCAGGTCTGGCCATTTCGAGACATGCGCAATGCTTATACTGTGCATTCATGATCATGTTTTTCAAGAGATACATTGGCACAAACCATGAGAAAAACCTATTTCAAATCGAACGTTCTCGCTTATACTGGTGTCGAACGGCCACTTTTGATCACAGTCGTTTCTGATCCCGATCTTATTTCATGATTATGATTGGTTCTCTCACGCAAGCTGCAGAAGAGAGCCGGGTGCTGTTGAGAAATTTGATCCCGACCAGGCTTGATTGTGATCAACAGTGCACCTTATGATGCCGGATTTTACACTGAACATCAGCTGCTCTTCTCCTTGTTGGAACTGCACTTCTAAATGGGGCATTGGCTTGTGATATCGACTGAGCATAGGTACACTCCAACATAGGTGAAGAATCTGTGCCACACACCAAAGAGATCCTCTATGTCCTCACCTGTCACCCTCTGCGGTGAGGAGGGGTGACATGGAGGCACACTAATGCAACATAAATTGCAGAAGAAGGGGGAGGGCAGGTCTTGCCCACTTATCACGAGTTTTGCATGACGTGGCGTTGTGCGCTCATCACGTGATCCTCCCACACCATTAAGGGAGATTTTCAAAGAAGGAAATCGGCTTTCTAAGGCTAAAGAGAACAAGTGGCAAGGATGTGAAGCTTGCCTCTTCACATCGTGGCTGCTTGCCGCTTCAAAACATTTAGCTCTGCCTGTAAAGAACAAAATACAAAAGCTCCTGTGATAGAATGCTTTCAGTCTGATGCTAGTGTATATCTAAAATTTACTTTGTGGCCTTGTGAGCGATCTTTTAAGAAGACTGATTTACAAGGCTTTGTCGGTTAGAGGGGCTTTGCAACACTTTTTCAGCGGGGTCGGGAAAATGCTGCTGGTCGGTAGTCGAGGCACCTGAAAACATGCAAGTTATACATTATAGTTATACATTATAGTGCGGCAGACGCTCTGGAATTCACAAATTATTATCAGTCAGCTAGAGATAGCTCAGTCTTTTCTTCACAAATGATGTCATAACACAAAGTGACGTCATTGGCGAAAGCCCACGGTCATTGGCTGATTTGAGGAACATGAACTGCATAGTTAATATGGCTGCCACAGGGTGCCTCAATGTGTCCCTGTTGTACTCTTTAGTGGTAGGAATACATAGTGTGTTAAGCTGGGCATTCAAAGAAAAAAAAAGAGAAAGTGTGTGAGGACATGACGTGTGCTGACAAACAGACATAAGTTCTTGCCCCTGGGTCATCCCTCCCTGCGTAACTTTCAGTGAGCTCGTTAATACAAAAGGAAAGAGAAAGCACTTAAGTGTTCAACAAATATCCATAGCTCTGTTTGTACTTGACAGATTCTAAAAATTTTTGCGGAAGTTGACTCGGGAGACAATAAACTTTTAATCAAGTCATTTGATGCTTACCTAGAAAAGTGTTGCAGAACACCCTTAAAGACAGAAGGCTATCCAATTTTGCCGTTTTAATGCTCCCAAAGGGAATGGATTTAGTGCATTACGGTCTGAGTAGAAGAAAAAGGGAGAAAAACATGCTTGCATCGTAGCATGCTGGATTTGTTTGCCTCAGCATCGTGTACTACCAAGTGGCCCAAAAATCGCATTTTCAAATTTTCAGTTGCAGTAATGAATGCGATCTTTTACACATGTTTGCATTGTTAGCAAGGTTTATACAGATGTATATCAAAGAGTGTTCTAAAAATCTCAACTCATGAAGCTTCTATGCTAAATTCATGCATGCTGAGAAAGAACAGCAAAGGATATGTGCCATCACCTGCCACCACTAAAGTGTTGCCAACTAGTCTGGTAGATTTTTGCAGATTTTCTTGCCATCCTATGCCTACTCCAGCCAAAAAGCATCATGTGCGTGAAACAAAACTTGGTGTTCTTACACCATGCAGCTCCACTGTGAATCTACGTACGTTATACTAAAGCTTGCTATTTTATAGTAACACCCGAGTGTTGTCGTTTTCAAACCTGAATGGTTTCGATGGACTCCCCAAAAAGCAATACCGAAAGAAATTCAGTTGAAAGAATGAGTTCCTTGTCCATCATTTAGATGGTCAGTCTCGTCTGCTAGCTGCTGGTGTTTATGTTTGTACTCTGACACTATGTATACAACTATGAGTGGATTCTTTTCATTATGGCATGTGCATCAGCAAAACTTTTAATGCAAAAGCTTTAGATGCCTCATTTAATGCAAAGATTGACCATAAATGTCATCTAAATGAGTAATGTGAAAAGACATCTGGTGATGTCGTCACATAAAATTGTGGCAAGTGTCAGTTTAATGTTCTTATAACTACACTCACTTTGATTTTTTTGGTGACACTGATGTTGCATGTGTTTATGCACAGATGACGACAATGATTGTTGTGTTTCCCTATCTAGTAGGTGCCTACACTGTGTGTTTTTTACTGGACAAACGTCGAGCAAGAAAAGAATATTTAATGGCCACTTCTAAATGACTGCAGAAAAGGCATGATGGCAATAGCTGGTGGTAGCAGCACCCAGTCCAGTGATATGGGCTATAGGGTATCTTACAACACAACGTAGAGAGACATGTGGCACCACAGTCTATGAAAGTCTCCCAACAAGCACTTTACTGTTGTGGGAGTGACTGTATATTTGCCCACAAAACTGCTGTTGGCTGGTGTTCAACTAGGCATGCCCTACAATGTGCATGTGGCTGTGCGAAAAAAAATTTTAATTAAAGTGTTAATGAATGGCTACCATTCATATGTATCACACTTTCTAATTTAAGTGTGTAATCAGGCAATGGATAAAAATACAACTCTTCACTAAGTATCACGAAGCAAATATTGACATCTATATATTTTCCCTAACACCAAGAACAGGCTGCTACTTTTCACAATTCATAAATGTTTACATTCAAGAGAAAACTTTCATAAGTGAATAAATTATGTTTATCAGAAAAAATGCTCTTTATGTGCCAATTTGATGCAAAATTAACTCTTTACAGATGAATATTGTAACGCTGGGTTTTCTTAAAAGTGTCTTCACTGATGCGTACACACACAAATATACAAGTGCATATACAAAATAGGGCAAAAAAAGGCAGGCCAATGAGTGGGGCAAAGCCTGCCAAATTTTTTCGGGAGGAAAAAATTTGAACACATACAAATGAGTAATACATATACAAATAATAAACAAGGGCTTGAGTAAAGTGAAAACATGAAAAAGCATTTATAAATGGGAAGTTATTTTTCATGATGTGGGCACATAGCAGGGCACAATATTCCATCCTGCTACTTCCAATTCATGAAAATGACTAAATTTGGACATGTTGAATTGAAAAACACCAATCCGAATTCCAATACTTGCAACAAAAGCTTTCCACATTGATAATTGCAGGAAGGGGTGGTAGATCCAGAGAGCAGTATAAAAACGATCCCCCTCTAACACCCCTTCATCGCTTAACAAGGTGTGGGTTCGAGCTAACTGCATGATACTCCATCTAAAAAAAAAAAATTGCGCAAGAAGTAGTTGAGCACCCTCCCCTCTTATCAGTGCTTGTCTTCCACCTCCTATTACCGATTCGTACGAATGTGTGTGACCACTGTGAGCATACATTAACAGTAATTATGCTATGACAGCGTTTTCATGCTTCTAAAAACAAGAAAATCCCGACCCCGCTGCTACCTTCTCTGGTGGTACTTCGAGCGACCCCCCCTCGTCAACAGTATTCATGCTCTGATATGGTTTTCATGCTACGAAAGACAAAAATTTTAGAACCTGCCCTCCTTTCTGGTGTTACTTCAAGCGACCCCCTCTCCGGTGTCCTGAGCATACATCAAGAGTATTTATGCTATCACAGGGTTTTCGTGTTACTGAAGAAAAAAAAGTCAGGACCCCCTCCCTCCCTTAGTGTCCTGAGTCCA